CCTGGCTTCACAGCCCAGTGGCTGGGCTCTGGTCCTCTCCCAGCACAGACAGGGACAGTCCTGCGCTTGGTTTCCCCCAACACTGGGCCCCACCCCACCCCTCAGCTCCCTGGCCCCATCACTGCCCATGCTCTGCAGATCCCCCCATCTTAGACCAGGGCTGCTGAGTGCAGATCTGTGCTAACCAATCTGGCCTCGACCCTGGGGCTGCCCTGGACCTCAGACGCCCTGCCAGGTATCTTTCCCGGGTGTCTTCACCTTTGGGAGCCACCTTCCTCCCATCCCTTCTCACACCATGGCCTCCACTGTCAGCAGATGCCCTGGTCCCTGCCCAGAGCCTAGAGTAGAACAGAGAGCAGAAACTACTGGGACGGTCATGTCCTTGCCAGGGCCTGGGATGGCACCATGCAAGGATCACAGAATTCAAACCTCAAATAACCCGCTAGGTTACTGTCACCTCATTTGACCACTGAGGAGGAACCGAGGGATAGAGAGATAGCCCATGACTGCAAGGGACCTGACCACTCGCCCCTCCATTCTCACTTATTTCCTTGTACCTGGTTAGGGTTCCCTGTTTATTCGAGGGGGGTGGAGGCAGAGGAGCAGAGCCATGGGCCTGAACATCAACAGCATCTCAGCACCTAGCAGGGAGCCTCCGTTTCCATGTTTCTGTGATGATGGGGACAAAGTCCCAGAGGCACCCAGCTCAGGGCCTTCCGGGCCTTTCCTTCCCCGAACACAGCAAAGCCACAGTTCTCACAGCCCCACAAGGCCCCACCTGATCTGGCTCCTACCCTAGTGGCCTGCTCTCCTCACCCCTGGATTCACCCCCAGTAGCTACACAGGCCGTCCTTTCATCCTTAGAACAATCCAGTGTGTTCTTACTTTAGAGCCTTTGTAGGGTGTGAGGAGTAACATCGCGTCCCCTCAGAGTCAGGTGCTGGAGTCTCAACCCCAAGTACCTCGGCGTGACCTTACAGACAAAGGAAAGGTCTTCTCAGAGCTGACGGTGGTCAAGTGAGCTCATGCAGATGGAACCTCCTCTAACAGGATGGCTGTCTCCATACAAAGGACACGTTTAGAGACAGACAGACACAGAGGAGAACTCCAGGTGAAGAGGAAGGTGGAGCTCTCCAAGCCCAGACACGGCCACCATGGCCAGCAAAGCCCCCGAAGTGAGGGGGGAGAAATGGGACAGACCCTCCACCTCCATCATGAGAACCAGCATCAGTCAACACCTTGACCTCAGTTGCTGGCCTCCTGAACCAACACAGTTCGTAGTTTGAGCCACCCAGCCTGTGTGACTCTGACACAAAACCCTTTCTCCAAAGAAGACCCTTTCTTCAAAGACGACACAGATGGCCAACAGGCACATGAAAAGAAGCTCAACACTCCTAATTAATATTCAAATACAAATCAACACTCCAATGAAATATCACCTTACACTGATCAGAATGGCCATCATCATAAAAACCTATGAAGAATAAATGCTGGAGAGGGTGCAGAGAAAAGGGAACCTTTGTACACTGTTGGTGAACAGTGTAAATTGGTACAGTCAATAGGGAGAACCGTATGGAGGATCCTTAAACCACTACAAACAGAACTACCAGATGATCCAACAATCCCACTCCTAAATATATACCTGGAAAAGACAGAAACTCTAATATGAAAATATACATTCACCCCAATGTTCATTGCAACACTATTTACAGCAGACAAGATATGGAGGAACCCAAATGTCCATCAGTGGATGATTAGATAAAGAAGAAAGAAGATGTGGTTTGTGCACACACACACACACACACACACACAGGAATCCTTCTCAGCCATGGAAAATAATGAAGTGATGCCATCTGTAGCAACATAAATGGACCTAGAGATTATCATATTAAGAGAAGTCAGGCAGAAAGAGAAAGACAAATATTGTATGGTATCACTTATATGTGGAATCTAAAAAGATGCTACAAAAGAAATTATTTACAAAGCAGAAACAGACTCAGAGAACAAATTTATGGTTACCAAAGAGGAAAAGCAGGGGAAGGCATAAATTAGGAGTTTGAGATTAACAGATACACAAGACTATGTATAAAATGGTACTACTGTGGTGCTGGGGAAGACTCTTGAAAGTACCCCGGACAGCAAGGAGGTCAAGCCAGCCCATCCTAAAGGAAATCAACTGTGAATATGCATTGGAAGGACTGATGCTAAAGCTGGTCACCTGATGGGAAAAACCGACTCGCTTGGGCTCTGTCCTCTCCGCCCCTGAGTCCCTGCTCCTCACACCAGGTCCCCAGTCTCTCAGAGACCAGGGTGTCAGGAAGTCAGGACAGGTCTAGTGTGTTCTTCTCACCCCAGGGGCTCCCAGGGCTGACGACAGAGGCGGGAATCTGTGGGGTCTCTTCATTCCTGCTCAAGGACCTCATCTTGTCTCTGGGTAGGTCTTCGGATTCTCTCCTCTCCCCTACGAAGCCCCCAGCCCTTAAACCAGGACTCCAGTCACCCTGAGAACCAGATGTCAGGAAGTCTGCTCCCTATATCAGGACCCCAGTCTGAACCCCGTATGTTAGGAAGTCAGCTGCCTACACCAGGTCCCCAGTTTGAGATTGGATGTCAGGAAGTCAGCCCCCTATACCAGGTCCCTAGTCTCTCTGAGACCTGGATGTCAGGAAATGCAGCATATGTTCATCCACCCTATGTCCTCCCAGAGCCCACTCTGCTCTGGGGTTCAGGGTCCCCTCAGTCCTCCCTCAGCATCCTCACCTTGACCCTCCAAAGAACTAAGATCTTCCCCTCTGCCCAGTTGAGGCCCTGCCCCTTCTGACAGTTGCCTAATGTATCTGAGACACAGATGCGGAAGTCAGAACAGGCTGCCAAGTGCTCATCCCACCAGCAGGGTGGCTCAGGGCTGACAGCAGGGGTAGGCATCTGTGGGGTTCCTTATAATCTCCCTCGGGGACCTCATCTTGAGCCCTGGCAGATCCGGGGAGGCCCCCTATGTTGACCAGAGGTGGGACCCTCACATCAAGGCTCAGGGAGCACAGAGGGTGGATGAGCACATGCTACATTACCTGGCATCCAGGTCTCAGAGAAACTGGCGACCTGGGAGAAGGGGGCGTGTCCTCAAGTGAGCAGAGGGAAGAAGCCCAGCTCCTGCGGAGTTTCAATTTGGGGACTCTGAGGGAGGACTGAGGGGACCCTGACCCCAATCAAAAGAGACCTCAGAGAAGCCTGTAGCTGCTGTTGGTCCTTGGTGGTCGTGGGGTAGGATGAGCCCAAGGTGCGTGGTCTCACTCTCTGACATCCGGGTCTCAGACTGGGTACCTTGGATATGGGGTAGGGCCTCAGGTGGTCCAATTCCCAGGTCTGGCGGGGTGTCAGGTTGAGGACCCTGAGGAGGAGAACTAGAGGACCTTGGACTGCAATCACAGGACACCTCAGAGAAGCTCGTTTCTGTTGTCAGTCCAGGGCAACCGTGGGGGTAGAATGAGCGCAGCAGGCACGGTCTGACTTCCTGACACCCGGGTCTTGGAGAGACCGGGCCCTGGTATAAGGGGCGGGGCTTCAGTTGGGGAGAGCCGAGAATCCCGGGTCCTGCTCAGAGGCAAGGCGAGGTGCCTGAAGGAGGGCTGAGGGGACCCTGCGTGAGGACCGACGGAACCCCACAGATCCCCGCCCCTGTAGTCGATCCTGGGAGAGCTTGGGGTAAGAAGAGCACACTGCCTGTCTGCCTTCCTCACATGCTGGTCTCAGAGAGACGGGGGATCTCGTGAAAGCGGCACGGTCTCAAAATGGCGGACGGAACAGTCCAGGACAGTCCGCGGTCCTGCCTGGAGTCCAGGCTGCATTTGAGGATGGAAAGAGGCAGAAAGACCCCAACAGGGAGACAGGGATCCTGGCCCTTGTGTGGACTCTTGGGGGCCCTAGAGCGGGGCGAGCAGATTCTTGGCCCCTGGCTTAGGGACCTTGGGAGGTGAGGTTTTTCCGGCGGAGGGTGGAGACTTCAGGTCGGCAGAGGCTGGACTCCCCAAACCCGAGGGGGGACTGAGGAGACTCCCGCCCCTGTGGTCAGTGCTGGGAGGACAAGGCAGGACGTGAGGAGGAGTTGAGGACTGAGCATCTCCCCAGCCTAGGACCCACAGGAAACCCTAGGTAGGTGCGGCTGCTGCATGTGGAGCCCCTTAGCGCTTTCTGTTCAGGCTCGGACCTTGTTCAGAATTTCCATGCAGGTCCCCATAGGGGAGGGACCAGGCCGTGCCAGGGGAAAGGTGAGCACTACAAGGAAGCCGTGAGGGGACCTCCTACCACACAACTTGGGGGACCTCGCAGAGTCTACCCCTCATACTGTCATGGAAGGCTCAGGGCTGTGCCACAGGATACCGCAGAGCTGCCCCCTCCCTTTCTCTCACAGGACTCCAGGAACCAGGAGAGGAAGGCAGAGGACTGAGGCTCCAGTCCTGAGGTCAGAGGGCAGAGGTGGTCCAGGCAGTCCCAGGAGTCAAGGTGAGGAGGGTGCCCTGAGTGTGCACCAGGAGCTCCCCATCCCAGAGCAGAGGGGACCCCACAAGGGCCTAATCCCCCACCTTGTCAGCCCTGGAAATGTCAGACTGTGCTGACTGCACCATGGGGAGACACCTCACTTCCTCCTTCAGGTAGCCAGTGGACTGGCTGCCCTGGAGGCTTGCCCCTGTGAGGTCTGAGAGCACCCCTCAAAAGGAGACCTGTAAGTGGCCTGTGTGAGACTGCCCAGGGTGTGGTTCTCAGCTGAGGCCAGTCACAGCCCCTCTCTCCCCTAGCCTGGCCCGTGATCCCCATCTATTCTCCTGCCTCACTCCTGTCTGTGGTTTGATCCCAGGCATCGTGCTCGTGGTCGAGATGAGTGAGCTGAGCAAGCCCGAGGAAGACTTTCAGGACCCTGGCGAGGCCCAGTGCCCAGTGAATTGTGCAGCTCTTGGGGGCTGAGGCAGAGGTGGCTGCATCCGCCTCAGCCTCCTCCCTCACAGTGTCCTCCGTAGCCACTGGGGAGTTCTTGCCCCCGGAGGCTCTGAAGGAGATGAAAGCTAACCTGATAAAGTTCCTGCCCTTCAAGTATCTAGCTAAAGAGCTGACCTCCCAGGCGGAAATACTGAAGAAGGTCCTCAGGGATAACCAGGAGCACTTCCCGGTGGTCTTCAGCCAAGCCTCGCATTGCCTGGAGCTGGTCTGTGGTGTGGAGGTGAAGGAGGTGGACCCCAGGGAGCACATCTACATCATGGTCCCCAACCTGGGCCTCACCTGTGATGTGATGCTGAGCAGTGGGCACAGCATGCCCAAGGCCGGCCTCCTGGTGCTGATCCTCAGCCTGATCATGCAGAATGGAGACCGCGCCCCTGAGGAGAAGGTCTGGGGAGCACTCAGCAGATTGGGTGTGTGTGTCAGGAGTGTGCACTGTGTCTTTGGGGAGCCCAGGACACTTCTGACACACGTGTGGGTGCAGGAGGGGTACCTGGAGTACCGGCAGGTGCCTTACAGCTACCCTGCTCGCTATGAGTTCCTGTGGGGTCCCCGGGCCTATGCGGAGACCAGCAAGCGGGACGTCATGGCATTTCTGCTCAGGATCAAAGAAAGGGCTTCGAGGGCCTTCCCACCCCTGTCTGCAGAGGCTGCAAGGGAGGAGGATGAGGCTGCCTGAGCCAGAGCAGGATCCAGGTGATCCTTCCCTCTGTGATTGAAGACGGAGCAGTCAGCCTTCTCAGAAGTGAGGCCCTGGGGCACTTTGGGGAACCAGTGTATAGCATCTTTGGGTTCCTGTTCTCTATAATGACTTGGAGATTCACCTGTTTTCCTTAGAAAAAATTCAAACTTTGCTTGTTTTCATAGAAGACTAAATAAACTTCAGTGTCTTAGCTTCACGAATGATGCTGATCACAGTGTGTTTGTGCTTATCCAATTCATGAACAAGAGTTTTGCTGTTTTGTAAAAGATATTGGAAACTCTTCCATTGTGTTTTGTGGTCCTGAACAGAATGCAATGGAATTGGAATTAGAACTGTTTTGGAAAAGTGAGCTTACTTAGCAGTAACATTGATGGGGGATGAACTAGATGATAAAAACAATTGTAGAGAATTCATGCTTCTGCCCTTCTTGTGTGTCATTTTCAAAAACTAAATTATCTCTTGTGCATTTGGATTTGCCTGGGTTATTTAAGGAAGTAGCAGATAATTAATTGAGCCCCCTGCTCACTGGCTCGTGTATTCCAAAGACCTTTACGGAGCCTCTGCTCTGTGAAAGGCTGGGTTTGTAGTGGGGACACTAGGAGAAGCAGGACACCCCTGCACCTAGAGCGATGCTCTAGTAGCCCTAGTCACACAAAGAAGGTGGAGAGAAATCCCCTAGTCCACTAAACAAGGCAGCATGGGCCAGGGCGGTGAGGCTCCAGGAGGAGCCCTGGAATGTCAGTGTCTGAGCCAGAGTGTTCTGGGGCTTTGGGAAGCTGGGTTCCTTCTGTGGGAGGTCATCGTGATGAGGCTGCATGATGGCATCCCTCAGACCTGCCGACAGTGTATCTTGGGGGTGACAGGAAAGTCTGAAATGAATCATTGGTGTGAGGTGTCCTTTTGCATCTTGGATAAAACACAGAGAGATCTCTTGCTGGGGTGGAAAGGAAGGGGTCCTGACAGTTGTTGCATTGCTGTTGACCACAGGGGCCAAGGAGGTGTTTTCTACCACTGCCCCACCATCTGCTCAGAATCCTGGAGAAAGGTGAATGTTGCTTTGAAGTATGGCCAAGTATTCCCTGGGTTGGCCCTCTTCTCTCTGTCCTGGGAAAGCTGATTACCAATATATTGAAATGAGCACTGACTTGGTCATCTGGACTTTATTTTGGCCACTTGTGAGCATGGTCTAGATTTCAGAGGGATGAAATGAGTGAATGTGGGGAAATCCTGCTGGGTGACTGGATCCTGGGAACTTTGATTCCCAGCCAGGAAAGACACTGTTTCCCACCCCCTCAAACACACACTAACAGCCAAATTGAATAATATAACCTCTAGGAGGAAAACACACAGAGCCGCAATTTTGACTGGTTTTCTATTCCGTTTCCTATTGAGCTGGCAATCCTATGAGGTGTCTTGAAAACAAAGCTATTTCCAGAGGAGAGAGGGACAGAGTCTGAGATCCGAATAACACAAGAAATAAGTGCTAGCCAGGAAAGATGCAACATCCACCAGCGTCCCCGGGTTCATGCAAGTTCAGAAGTGTGGAGACAGCAGAGACTCACAGGCTAAGGCTGTGCCTGGCATCAAATGCCAGGAGTGAGTTCTGGGCCTAAGGAGGTGGTGAGGTCACTGCAGTGGGGTGTGCGTGTGGGTCCAAGGGGCTGAAGGGGCAGCTCTCCATGCTGAGTGCCAGAGAACAATGGGAACAGGAGATGTGATTCTGGCCACACATGTGGTCACTGCCACATAGTCAATGGACACTTGGAAAAGGTGGAGAATTTCAAGACCCATGTGACCTGCTCAGACTCTCTTCCCCAAAACATAGGAGATTTTGTCTTTTTTTTTTTGAGATTTTGTCATTATAAATTCTGACTGCTGCTCTTTGTTGAGCATCTGTTAGGCAGTGTGGAATTGGAGAGATGTTAGGTGCTCCACCACCTCTTGTCTTCCTCTCTCCCTGCACACATGGGGACATGAGCCTGCCAGGCCTCTTCACTTAGGAAGGGTGATGTGATGACCCGTGATCAGTGAACTTTGAGAAGAAGCATTTTTGTCATGACCATTTGTTTTGAAGGGACACAGGCACCTGGGAGTTAATCCTCAAATCAGGACAACACTAAGACACAGACCACTCCGAGTGAGGTTCTTCTTCCAGAGACTAAAGTCCTCTGACCCTTGAGAGAGGCTGCCCACAGGGAGCTGGCTACAGGAATTCCACGCACCCCCAACCCACAGCGTGCCCCCACCCCCGCTGAGCTGCACTGTGAGTCCCCTCGGGGTTCTGCTCGGTCTCCATCAGAAGGACAGCAACCAGCTGTCAAAGGTCCCTGTTGGAGTTGGGAGCATCCTTCACATCCTTCTCATGGGCCCCAGCCACAAGCCACACCCCTCCCCCGACACACCCCTGCTGCCCACAGTGCCCCCACTCCCTCAGAACCTGGCCTTGGGTTTTGTCCTACCTGCCCCCCCCACTGAGAGTGGCTTAGGCCCTGATCCTGATGACCTCATGTGTATATCTTTATCTGGAAGTCCCAGAGCAGCGTCCCCTTCCACGGTGCTAAAGGCGGAGCTGGCAGGACTTGACTCTCCTTGTGGACGCTCAGTAGTAATCATTGCCACGGATGCATGGGGCACATCTCTATGATCCTGAGGTGTATCAGACCATTCCCTGTGGAATCCCACGTGCTGGAGAAAACTCAGGGTCTTCTAAATGTGACTGTAAGGTCATGGCTTTCGAGGTTGAGTATGAGAGGCAGAGGGGTGTCTGGTCAGCCACCTGCAGAGCCAACTAGGAGCCAGTCGGACTGTTTGAACAGAGGACAGGCTCTAGCAGATGGCAGGGGTGGTACCCAGGATGCCCTCCTAGGTGCCAGAGGCTCCAGACTCAAAGGAGGATTTGGAAAGGAACCAGGCAGGAGAGGACACTGTGGTCCCAGGAGTGCAGGCTGCAAAGAGAGTCGGCTGCCCCAGAGAGGTGGAAGCAGCAAGCCCCTGGAGATCCCATCTGACCTGCCCAGGGCTGGTCAGGAGAGGGAGTGGGGAGGAGATGCTGCTGCAGGTGAGCTGCCGCCCTGGCCTCCATGAGATCATCTGTGCTCTGAGGCCAAGGCCGGGACCACAGCCCCCGGGGGAGGGGCACTCCAGGATGGACATGTGACAGCCATCATAACAGGTACTCCTCATGCCCCTTATTGGATATGACTGTTAGGTGTGGGTGGGATCTTGCTCTGGGTACCTAAGAACCTCAGGCCTTTGGCTGCTAGGAGGCCCAAACTGCCCCCTGCCCCCACCGACTTATCTGGAGGTCATTTTCAGGATCCAGCATCTTCAGCAGCCGCCTCTCTGTGAAAACACACCACACTGTTCCCAAGCTTATCTTGCCTAGGGCATCACCGATGGGACAGGCAACTCCCCTGGCTTAAGGATTCTCAGTGAATGTTCTGCTCCTCTGAGAAGTCCCTGTGTTTCCTCATGGCTTCCCTGGAGGCTCAGTGTTAAATAGTCAACTGCAATGTGGGAGACACAGGTTCGATCCCTGGGTGAGAAGATACTCTGGAGGAGGAAATGGCATCCCACTCTGGTATTCTTGCCTGGGAAATCCCATGGACCGGAGCCCAAGGGCGTGGGTGGGCTACAGTCTGTGGGGTCACAAAGAGTCGAACATACTGAGCGACTAAGCACGTACACACATATGCACAGCTTAAGTTTTGCTCTGGACCCTTGTTTCTTTGTCAAGACACTAACCCCTGCCTGGCACTTGTCAGACATCTGTGGCAAATAACACTGGCAGACATCTTAAAGTGGTTTTTGAGCAATACAGGGTTCTAGGTCTACACCTGGCCTCGATTGGTGGCTCTTGTCGTATCCAGGGAAAACATCTATGAGTTTGGATAAGGGCAGTGTTTGTGGGGCTTGAGAAAAATTGGATCCAGAGATGTTTCTGTGGTGGAAGAGGCCTGGTTAGTTTATTATATGAGACTGAAGGTTAAGGGAGAGGAAAAGCTGAAGATAATTTAGGAAGGGTTGTTTCACACCTACAAGTGCCGTGTGCTTGTGCTTGGTTTCCTTTCTATTTCCTTTTTTAACATACTCAGCATGTTTTGCCGTAAGTTTCCTTGTGTCTTTTATTTTGAAACTGTCAATAGATTTTATTTTGACCTTTTCCTTTGTAATCCTTTAAGATTTGAATAATATTTGTGAAAATAGTGGAATTCTCATATGCCCTCTCCCAGCTTCCCCTATTCCTAATATCTTACATTAATATGATACATTTATTACAATTAATGAGGAAGTATTGATGCATTATTTATTATCAACTGAAGCCCACACTTTACTCAGATTTCTATAGGTTTTACCCGCTCCAGGATCCTGGCCAGGAAATCACCCTAACATTTAGTTGTAATGTCTCCTTGGGTTCCTCTTAGCTTTCACAATTCTTTGTTTTGGATGATCTTGACAGTTTTGAGGAGTACTCAGTAGATGTTTTGAACAATGTCCCTTGATTGGGAGATTTGTCTGATATTTTACTCATGACTAGTCTGGGATTATGAGTTTGGGGGAGGAATATTACAGATGTAAAATCCCATTCTCATCACAGCATAGCAAGTGTGTATTCTATTAGTACAATTCATCATTGGTGATGCTCTCATTGATCATGTGGCTGAGGTAGTGCTTGTCAGGTGTCTATGTGATAAAGTGATTGTTTTATGTCCCCTTTCCATCTGTCCTCTTTGGAAGAAAGTCACGATGTATGGTCCATGGCTTCAGGGGTAGGGAGTTAGACTCCACTTTCTAGAAGTGGGAGTGTCTGCATAAACTGGAATTTTTCTCTGTGGGAGAGTTGTCTATCCTTGTTTGTGGAATTAAGAAATCATTAATTTTTCTCAGTATGGACTCATGGTATTTATACTGCACTTTGGGTTAAAATCCAATACAACTTTTATATACTTTTATTTTCAAATTGTTCTCAGATTGGC